CAAGGACGCTACTAGGGGCTCCTGGCCTTACTACTAGGAGCAAGGACACTACTAGGGGCTCCCTTCTGTTGGTTGAACAGTCCCTCTGTGCGTGTCCAGTTCGCGAAGTTGTCGGACTGCTTGTCCGGTGTGTGATATGGTCGCTTGAGAGGACGTAACACGCAGAACAAAGTGAACCTTTGGAGTAGGACGAGCTCATTATCATGAGTCGTGAGTATTGTTTCTGTGCTGGTGGTGCATGGTTCAGAATGTTCCACCTTGCCTGACAAATGCCTTTAAAAAAATATCATCAGAATGTTCTGCCGCCCACCTATCGAAGGAAACTTTGTGTGGACCTGGAGCAAGGCATGCTTTCCCTCTGCAAACTGCTGCAAGAAGAGGTTGTACCTCTGCTGCAAATTGCGCTCATGCGCAGGGCATATCCAAGGCTCACATCTCTAGCTCATTCTAGTGGTGAGTTGCTTCCTGAAAACAGCATGTAAATATTGGACCATGTTCCGACAAATTGACTCTTGTTGAGACATACAGCCAGCGGATTCTTGAATTCGTTCACCTCCGCAGCTTTCCCCCGCTGGACCCAAAACAAGTGACCCATCTCGCAGCTCAGGCTTCACAGCCAAGCCAACCGCAAAAACCCAGTCCAAACCTCAGCTGCTATGAAACATGAAGGCCTCCAGTGTTTTTTTTTTTTTCCGGAAATTGATTAATATCTCGCTTGTCTTGCAATGATCATCTAACTCATGTGTCAAAGCTTTTAACTTTCTGAGCGACAATGGTTTACTTCTTATTTCACAATTACATTTCTGGTAACAAGTGATGCTAGTGATGGTACGGGTGTGACCGGTGTGACCCAAACAGCCGCATGATACCGTCTTTTTTCTTTCAAAAGGGCCGTCAGTGAAACTCGTGGAGCCGAATACTTTGCCGACTTCATGATATCGCAAAGGTGCATAGTCGGTCATTGATGTGCGCTTGCAGAAGCACCACAGTGAAGACAACCAACATATCCATAAGAAGGCTGAGAGGTTTGTGAATGGATAGCTAGAGCGTACCTTGGAACCTCATCTTTGTCTACCTGCAACATCGTAGGCGTACCTTGGTCGAATTGACCGTTTTAGTCGAATTGACCAAGACTCTTCCAATCTATTGCTTGCGCTCTTGGCCGCTTGTCAGCCAAAGATAGCGCTTCATGAGTTACAACTCTCGATAGCTGTGGCCTGAATCGTAATTAGGTGTATTCCGAGAATTCAGCTTCGACCATTTTGAACAACATTGTTTTTAACGCTCTCACGCGTGTGATTTCTAATGGATTTCATGGGGAGCATCTGTTGCCAACGTCTTTGGTGCCTTAGGCAACAGCCTTCATCATCGTCTCTTCAGGTTCCCGGCCCTCGGCCAAAACCACTTGGCCGAACTTCTTCACAAACGACACCACCTGGCTTCACCGCGGGTTTGGCATTGGTGCCTACAGTACTTGCTGAGATGGCCAATTGTTACAGGGCATTCAAGAGATAGGTGGTCCGTGGTCCCCAAGTGATCATGTGGCAATAAGATCTGATGTGGATTCCATCATCTTTCCTGCTCTCCCAAGCCTTTTCAAAGACCCCCTTCCCTATGGTAGCCGGGCCGCCTGGTCATTGTTGCACCTCTTCTTCAATCCATAGGTGATGTCTTCTGCAGCCCACAGGCTGGGATCTTGTGTCCACTTCATGTCCTTCTTTGGTGTGAACAGGCTGATCTTCGCCCACAAAGCTCCATTCCCCGCAACAAAGATGATCAAGGCAACCTTGTGGCAGGAGGTTCTAGTAGCTTCTTGTTACTAGTAGCTACTTGCTCCTAGTAGTACGGCCAGGAGCCCCTAGTAGCGTCCTTGCTCCTAGTAGCAGTCGAGACCAAAGGCGCTCAAACCTGGGGAACAAACACAGAGAGACAATAATGATGTCATGAGCTGAGAGACAACATTCATAATGGCCAAAGCCAGTCCAAGGGTTCCCAGAACCCAAATGCCAATTGCCGCCATGAAGAAAATGCAGGATTCAACCTCAGATTGTGCAACCAAACTGCCGAGCACCCACAACCACAAAACCGCTGCAAGTATCGGGAATGGTACACCAACACTAAAAAGTACTTGTATTCTGAGACCAAGCTGGTTGGGGTCTTGGACCTGTTACAAGCTGTCAAACATTCACAGCGCTGGCCAAGCTTCCATATAGACAATTGGATCTCCCAAAGAGTCAATCCTCATGAGGAAGAACTTGATGGCGTCAACATCAGATAGGGGATCCACATAGCTGAGGTGTACAACCTCAGCGGACCAGGTTCACTCCCATGAAGCAAACAGCACCGAGGCCAAATGGTTCCTGCTTTTTGTCCTTGTTCATTGATATCCAAAGAGCCTGAAGCATGTGCCAGCCTATAGATCTTGACCATACTTGCGAGTACTTGCTTGTGGCTTGGATCTGGTGTCTTCCTTCACAAACACATTTCTTTGACTCACCGTACAAACGACGCCCATGGACAAAAACGAGCCGTGGAGGCTGATCGGATCTGCTGAAATCAATCCAAGATACACAACTCATAATGCAAAGCAGATTGAAGAGCAAGGAGGCAATGCCTTTCCCAAAGCAAGGAGGCAAGGTGTCTAGTCTTAGGCAGGCATGACTTATATTATATGTATAATATATATATATTATATCTATGATAATATATGTATATCCAAACATATCCAACCATGAAGCAAACATTCAAGACCTCTTTCAGCTGCCAGTCGACTTCTCGAAGTGGCTACTGCACTGAAGGTTTTGGGCACAGTAACAGGAACCATTCAATATACATCATCATACTGCTTGAGTCGTACGCCGTTACATCTTTACCCTAGATTTCATCTTCTGCCGCTCTTCGATTCATGGTCTTCGGATTCGGTTTCTGGAGAGATTGTATAACTACGTATGACTATCTTAAAGGTTCTGTTGACAACACTTCAGTGCACATTTCACTGAACATGCGCAGTGAGCCAATGAAGTGTCTGCAAAGTAACAGGCACATGCAGCAAGCCAAGTGACAAAACGCTCCGTAGAACTGCTGGAGTTGAATCTTGTCGGATGGTTCCAGAACAAAGCCTTCGGTTTGATCGGTCGAGGACACGCTATGTATAATCGGCACCAGGATTATGGGAGATGTTTTTTCTCTCATCTGGGTCAAAACCACTACAGTATGTTGTTCTTTGTGGTCAAGAGCGGGAAAGCATGTGAACAAACGCACTCCGATGCTAACATTTGAAGAGTCTGCGGGAGTCAAGTCCACGCTCCATGTCTGGGCCGGGCGCCGAACAGTTTCACTCCGAAAAGCCCGTTTGTTGGATTTGGGCACCTCTGGGCTCGATATCGTCCATCTGCAGCATGGCCATGACCATCGTCAAGATGAGCCTCGCTTTGGGAGTCAGACCTGATGAAATATGATAAAACCAAGAACCAAAGGCTGATTGAATGATCAAGGAGTTTTGCTCAAACAAGCCTTTCAGGTTTTACAGCAGTGATACCAATCTACTATTTGGACTTGGCAACTCGGTTGCATCTACTATCGTGATGGCTTGGGTGGCATTGCAGCTTGGAGTAAAGTATGTACTGCAGGTTGGCTTTTATCAACCTGCCGATTTGCAGTGGCATGCTCTGGCAAACAAGCTGCGCAGAAGTCACACCAACATTGGTCCACACATTCCTTGGGACTGTCTTGCGCAAATGCATCTCACTGTGACAAAACTCACGCGGCCGTCAGTTGAACGCGGTGACGCCTGTAGATGCTACAAACCGATCAACCTACTGGGCAAGTGCCCACGCCTTGCCAACCTGCCTTCAAAAACGAGAAAACCATCCGGACTTCAAAATCAATAGCCATACCGGCCATACCTTTGCTCATTTTTGATACCCTTTCCAAAGACTAAGCTTCTTGGCGGACTCCTTCAGGCCCTCAGGATTGCAGTGCTCCAAGATGTCAATGCTCACCCGTGTAGTGAAGATCTGGGGGCGGCGCCAATAGTTTTGTTTGCTCAACTTGATGAGCTTTCTCTCTTCTTCGAGCTATCACCAACATGTGGCAGGTGTTTGACTCTTTCCATTCTATATTATATATATATATGTTAACATCCTCTCTCCAAGAACGTGTATGAACTCTTGCGAACCGCAACTGATTCAACCTCTGTCCCAAGTTCTCTGCAGGAGTAAAGAATGAAGGACATGCTCTCCGAAGCATTGTTTCTGTGACCTCCCGTCAAAAACTGCATGGATGAATCTTGTATCCTTTTGAGAATCTGAACGTCCAGCCCTTGAGCCATTCCGTGTTCCACCTGACCCAAAATGAAGAACACCAGTGCGAGGATTGAGACCACAATGACAGCAATGTAGTGGGCTTCCCCATCCTGCCATTTGATGCATGGCTTCGGCTTACATTGAATATCTTAGAATGAAACAACGGTTGATCACGGCAGATTGGCAAACCCCGGCACACATTAACACGGAAGCGAACGCTCCCTGCGCGAATTTACACGTCACATTTCATGACAAAAAACATGTGGATCATGTATTGGTATGTCTTGCCTATGAAAACAGCCCGGCTCTTGGACTAACCAGCGCGACTTGTCATTGATCGGTCTACTTGTTGTCCCTTCCTCCTCCGTCGATTGAATAAATTCACATCGGGACTCTGCAAATTAAGCTGGGTGTTCTTGGATCGGAATGCCTGACCATTCATCCAATAGTGCCAATCCCTTTTCAAGAGTTCCAGATTCTACTCAGGTTCCATTCACAAAGCACCACGACATTTGCGGTGCCTGTCCCTCTGGCCACCACGCCATTGTTGCAGCGCTTTTCGCTCCCAGGCAGCTTTCACCCAATGAGCCAGTGCTGCAAAGGCATGACCAAGCAAATCTCCCCGGTGGAAGACTGGAGGTGGGCCAGGATGGCCGGGTTTTGGGGTATGCAAAGATGTTTTCAAAGGTGTCAATTGGAGACTTCAGGCTTCTCATTCCGGAATCATAGGCAGCCCTGCTATAGGAGTGAACTTAGCAGTGAGTGCAGTGGCTGGACCACTCACAGCTTGTATCTGTGCGACAACAGCCTTTAGGGTTTGAACTGCTGCAAGTCATGCCAACATAATCCAACACATGCGAACGGTTTTGGGGTCGAAAACTGAAAACTATTCCTGTGTAGAGGGTGTGGTGTGTGGCACACCATGGCCGTGCGTCCAAAGAGCGCTGGTGATAGAGCCAAGAAGGTCCCAGCATGGAAGCCACCCCTCCAGTGCGATATAAATCCTCACAAAGCCTAGGAGATTGAATGACATTGAATGAAGCGGCTCTTGAGATATGCCATGTGACAAGAGCGATGCATCATCTAACTAGGCTTCGTCATTGTTTTCATCAGTGAATGCAACATGATCTTTCGACCAAGCCATCCGAATTTCTACTCTAAGTGCCAATTACTCTCGGTGTTCACAAGGCACAAGGATCTTCAAGTCATTGCACTCCGCACAAATGCAAGCCAGAAAACTCAAGCAAGGCTGCGAAGCCACTGGGGAGCAATAACATGCCACGATCCTTGTGACTCAAACTTTGCACCTGATGCACCTCGGATGAACGGCGACAATGCTCTTGCTAGATTTGCTTCCAATGGTCGAGAAAGCGTCCTCCGACAGGTTGAATTTTTGATGATGTGTGTCGATTGGGACCGAAGCATATTAGCCTCGACCAAATGCCAGAGTTTGGGAGATTGATGGATATTGATATTGCATCGACAAAAATTGAAAAAAGATGAACACCAATGTGTACACATGTTTTTTCAGCTCTGGGTGTCCACAAACCGCCTTTTTTCAACGATGCAACTTCTGTATCACTGTATACCTCTGCCTCGCATCACTTTGGGTCTAGCAAGTCAGGGACCAACTTGGCGAGCAAACGCGCACACAAACACACAAAGCTCAAAGCATTTTGCTGGCGAGATACCACTTCGACTAGAAATGGAAATCTTTCCAGAATTGTTTTGTCCAGCACCGGTGCCGTAAGATTGGCTCCCTCCAAAGGAGATGACATCAACCTCAGTCTTCTACTAGACTGCAGGATCTGTATCAAACAAAGGAAAAAAAACACCACACCATAGAGCCCGCAAAAAGGCAAGGGTCTCTAAACTCTGGCAACTAGTAGCTTTTGCTACTAGTAGTAATGCCCTTGTTACTAGTAGCGATGCCCTTGTTACTAGGTCTCTAAACTCTTGCAAAGTTAGTTGAATTCAGGGATACAATGCATCTGTTAGGAGAGTGGTCAGCATCAATGCTGGTAGCGTGACTCTTGGACCAATTGTCCCGGCTCCAGCTTCAACACTGCACAAAGTGGAGTTCTTCGAATGACCACATCAAGAGCCACATCAAACTTGCTGGGCTTCCAAGTTCAAGGATGAAACTGGCCTTATCCCTCTTTTCTCATCTTGCCGACCACCAAGGGGCTGATCACCCACAGTCTTCAAATGCGAAGCTTTGAAGTCCAGGGCCTATGAGCTGTTCTGACTTCAATGACTGTCCCATTACCTGGTGAACTTGGTGCACACTTAGCCTTATTGGAGTGGCAGTCTCTTAAGTGGCAAAGCATGGAGCCCTTCAGAACGTATGCTGCACAATTGGAAGCCCTACACCAAAAAAGGCCCAACTCCTGCAGAGCTGCTTTTCAAACCGCAGTGAGCGACCCCAAATATCCTGGCACCGGCTCCCACCCTTTGCCTGAGCTCGAAGCGCGCAGTCCTTAAGCATCCTGGCAACATGGTCCGTTGGGTCTGACAAGCCAAACAGGCAACCAGGCACCGTTGTGTCGAGATACTTGGAGGATGCATGTATCTCCCTAGGCCCTACATGATACTTGGAGGATGTCTCCATAATCAACGTTACAATAAAACAGCGCTCCACAGTTCCTAATATTTTCTGAATCAAGTATATAAGTAAACTACACAAAGGGGCCATGGGGGGGACAATTTGATGAAAACACAGAGGAATACACGGCGATCTCCTTAAGTGCTCTTCATCCAACGAAACGTTGCCGCTGCTGAATTGCTTCAGAGCTGCCTGCCGGCTTCCACACAACTGATTGCAATCTTCGGTTTTTATTGCACCCGCAGGTTATCATTCACTTGGGATTGCTTGACTTCAGACATCAGCTTCGACAGGGGATTGCTTTCGATGCCGTCGACATCCAACATGCTGAGAAAGCCTCAAACAAAACAGATTGATTGGGAGCATGCAGTGCAATTATCCTCTGAAACAAATGCCGCAAACATTCAAACCACTACAAACTTTGCATCGAGTGCTGTGCCTGCATCTCAGGAGATTCGCACTTATCCATGAAGTCGCCTTGTTAGCCACACCAGTGCTCGGCAAGCTTCAAGTGTTCACAGTGCAACTGTACTCACAACATCTCAGCTGACGCTGTCAGCATGGACTCGACTACTTTCAGTCATCTTCCATCTGCAACACGAGAATTCAGAAGCCCAGTCACATTCTCGGCAATCAAGGAATGCATTTGGGCAACAGCTGCAATGTGGGTGCTGTGGAGTACTCTCGGTGTGATTTTGAGCACAGGTGACTCCTCTCCTGACGTCCATGGACAAACACCGAGCTCTAACAGCCTTGATACCTGAATCCATGTCAGCTTCTGCCAGGCAAGGGTCCCCTTCCCGGTACAAGACATCAGGTCATCGCCTAGCTTAACACCAACCTACCTACAATACTAAGGATTCGCTCATGGCATGGCCTGGAAGAAATCCATTTATATAACTTGCTTTCAAGGATACCCTGAACTATCTCATGCCCATGCATTCAACGGCTTAGTCGCAGGCCGTGCTATAATTGAATCACTTTCCAACATGGGAATCGCTCCCTTTGCCAGGCGGTAAAATACAGTGATACAAACCAAGGCTCATGAGTTCTACAAAGCCTGGCCATCCGCCAGGCCGCTCTGTTGTGGTACCTGGCCATCCATGACTCACACCAGTGGTGAATCGCCTTCGAAGGAATCAATGATAACCCTCTGTCGATATTCACTCCAACATGTTGACCAAACGGATACTTCCAAGGCTCACAAGCAACGCTTGCAAGTCTTGCGGCGTTTCAACACATTCCCCTGTTTGTTTGATTGTGATGAAAACAACAGCGTGATCAAACACAATTTGACAGGTAAGACCCAAGCATGATGCCATGCTTCCTCTGGTGGACACAAATTGAGGTTTTGGATGGTTTTGGCTGGCGGCCAGGAGCAGTGTTCCTAGATTGGCTCCAGCATCGAAGCACTGCTCACCATCCATGGTGCAGTACTGTCACAGTTTTGCGGCGACAAATGGGACATCTATCACGACACCGGATGCCGCAAAGCTCCGCCTGCAAGCCCTTCCTTCAGAGCATTCCGCAGATCGCCCAAGCCCATCTTCTCCACCAAATCCTTCAACTCGGGGCGACCTGACCATGTTCGTGAGCTCAAAGGGAGGGTGATGCAAACCAGAGGTGTGCAATGGATGAAGAACATGGAAGGGCAAGCATCATCCAACATCCGGGCCTAATGGCTCCAGGCTACTTCGAATCTCATTGCTGATGACCAAATCATCAGGCTGATCAGGTGCAGTGACGAGAATCTCATAAGGACTCCTCCGAAGCTGTGAACTGGTGAAATGGACCCTTCAATGATTCAAGGGGCCTCCTGGATATCGACTCCACAATGAACCGAAACAACGACGCCTCCTTGGACCCCCCGGGGCTTCAATGGTGGGAATGTCTTCTCCCCATGGTACCGACTGAACAGCTCTTCCCTGCATAGATGATTTCCATTGCAAAGCTTCATGAGCCCCGTAGGGAAATGTGCATCTTGGATGTTTCGCAGCGCCAAGACTGCTGGAGACCAGAGAGGCATCATTGCAAACCGATCCTCAGTGACTCAGCAGCCGAGCTCAGCTGAGATTCTTTACACGCTTGGAATTCAGGGCTGATTTGATTCATGGTCGGGTACAGGCCCTGCGTGACCAGGACTATTGCTTTGCGTGAATCTCCGATCTCCCGAAGCGCTGAAGCATAGCCACACTGCAGCCGAAGTGCGGCAGTGATGTGAAGAGAGGGAGCAGAAGATAGTATGGGCCAAACGAAGAGAACCACTAATGCTATGGCTGCAACTGGAGCTCGTTCTACTACACCTCGCTTCGGCTGTTAGCAAAGCCATGCAAAGCCTGAAGCCTCTGGGTTTATGTGAGAACTTCGAGGCTCTGCAAGCCCAATGGCACCAAAGCTATATTGGCCATTGGCCCACTACTAATGATTACTAACTAATGACTTCAAATCTCCAGCACCAGTGGTTCCAAGCTCAATACGGGACTCTGGGACAAGACTTTGTCGGTAACTCCCTCCAGAAGCTCTATGACATAAATTCACTTGCATTGGATAGTGCTGGGGATGGTTGTAAACTGCAAGCAGTGCTAATCAGGACTCTTCCAGGCCATGAGACGCATAATCACTAGCCAATTGGCGTTGTCCGCCTGCCGCTGCTTGCACATGAAGATAATCAAGCTTCCCTCTGACAAGAAACCACTCTATTGGATGGTCTCGGCTCTGTGCATGACATTGGAGCTGAAGGCAGCTGACAAAATCACCAATACCCTACCATCCAGGGTCGTTCTTATCCTTCAAGGTGGCGCCCGCTGAAAGGAGCCCTAAATCCCAAAGCCTATCGCCTCAATCACAAAGCTGGCTAGATAGAGGCCGAGAAAAATCTAGCAAGTCCGAAGGCCCTCTCAACAACTGGACCTTGTCTTTTCTCAAACAGTCCATTTCATGATATTCCATGTCATGTTCGTATGATGGAATGAACAATGATATGAAACTCTTCTGCAATGATGCCCAAACCACCGCTCAAACCGCCTCAGGTCTTTGGCTTCGTTCCTCTTCGTCTGCAAGATCTGCTGCCAGCTCGACATCTCCCCACCAGGTTGGCAAGAAAGAATTGCCCACAAGCATGGGGCCGAAGACCACGAAAACCGCCGGAAGAAAAACCTCAGATCGTGGATATTCATGGATCATTTGAGATCATCATGAAGCCTTCGAACATTGTTCACCCACTTGGAGGCAAACAGAGAAACCATCAGCAGTGAAGCTCGAAATTGATCCCAAGCCAGTCATCTTCCTGGGGTTCGGTCCATCTTGGCCAGGCACTACATTAGTGGCCACACAGGCCAAAACGGCAAAGCCCAAACAAATGCAGGTGCCCTGAAGATTTCGCTCAGGCAGCAGAATGCCTCCGAAGCAATGGCGAAGAGGCTTCTCGGTGGCAAGAAAGGACATGCTTTATATATGGATGGATTTGGTGCAAAACATTCAATCGCTGTGCCTTTGGAAGTTTTGAGGTGATCTCAGTTGATCTCTGCCTGAAAAGAAGGCGATGGCCACCAAAACGCCGCTGACCGCAATCGTTCGACAGGTGCACGCCTGGTACAAATCCGAGGCTCTGGTCTGACGACCCAGGCCACAGAGTATTCTTTGGATATCAAACAAACATCGTCATGATCATACCCATATCATTCTGTACTGTGACATATAATACATTGAGATTGCATTAAACAAAATGCCAAGCTCCCCAAAGCAGAGGGGAACTAATCTCCGGCCCTCAAAGAAGTGATCTCAAAGGAGGGCGTCTGTCTGCAAACATCACCAAGTGCAACACTGAATGGTCCGGCTGTCGGTCTGGCTGTCTGTTAGACCTTGATAATGTCCACATTCTCTTGCAGAGTGAGCTTGTCATTGTGATTTTCGCTAAAACCTGCAAAGGTCAGTCTGAGGGTTGTGTGCGGGAGTTCACTGTAGTGCCGCAGTATTGACACGTATGCTGGGTCGATCATGAGGAAAGGTACCCAACATGTCACAACTGCAATTGAGGTGCTGAAGATTCTGAATCCTTTAGGCCATGTTGGTCCTACGTAGTATCTCATTCTCATGTTGATTATCATTTAACTCCTACATGCGCAATGTCCTTGGACCAAACAACTTCACATACTTCACTCAGTTTGACCTGGGTGGCCGCCAGGTGGCGACTGAGCAGGAAAAGGCTGTAGTCCTGAGCTTTCTCGAACTGCTGAAGTAAACAGACTAGTTCTCTGCTCCCAGCGCCAAAACACATTCCGTCTTTCTCTTTCACTTGCTTGCAATATTGCTATACATTGCTTCTGCCTAACCGCCTAACGGGTAATTTTGATTAGCACGCGTGAAACTATAATGTCATTGAGGAACATCAAAACAAGCTGAATTGAATGATTGATGCTGGGGCCTTGTAGGAATCTTACGCTTACGTGATCAACGTGATCTTCACTGGGGGCCCTTGTCAGGATATCGTGATTTCCCAATTTCGCACCAGGCCACCAATGAGAGTGCCAAGATCACCGAACCCATGGCAGCAATGCCGTCCGCCGGGACCTCTGAAAAGAAAGAAAAGAACAAATCAAAGATTTTGATCTTGGTGAACTTGGTTGAAACCTCGGGAGATTGACTCTGCAGCGATTGGACACTGATTCACGCTTTATGATGTACAAAGTATCGAAACAGCAATAACTTATGCTACAGCCATTGCCAGACCCAGTAAACAGCCATTGCAATATCTTGCTACAGGAGGCCTCAACATGGTCCATCCATGGAATCAACATCGCTGCAGAAAGTCCGAAGGATAAAACCACCTTGGCAGGCCAAGGATTGCCATGAGCAAATGTGGAAACGTGTACCACCCAGTAGCTATTCCGCGAATCGCAATCATTTGGTTGTGTCAGTGATGGTCATAGCCATAGATTGCCCATAGCAAGCCCATTGAGTACATGGTCAGTTGCAGGGAAAGATACGACAAAATAACGCACAAATACTTCACATTGCACACAATGTATCACTGGTTTCTTGCAGACCCTCGTCAGCTCAAATCATTTGTCTTTGCATGTCTTCACGCCTGCGGTTTTTTCTATGAGATTTGGAAGGTCGCAGAATCCATCTTTCTACAAGCGATTGTGTTCCTTCACAAGGCAAACAAAGTGAAGTGATATGAGTCTCGCAACGAATGACCAAGCCTCTACGTTTCGGGGGGGATGCTGCAAGGGGATGCTGCGTCGTTCTGAACCACTCTGCCAGGTGACCGAGAAGAGCGGAAGGATCAGCAAGCGCCAGTGTCGTACAAGACATCCCATGATCAATAGCGCGATAGGTGTGGTGACCACCTCTGCATAGAATAAACACTTGAAGCTCATGTCCTCAAGGGATAGAATGGCTTTTTGCGCACATGGGTGGGCTGCCGGGGAATGAGGGTCATCAATCTTGTTTGTTTCATGCTTGACTAGGTCAATTTCAATCAGACTCATGCAGAACCGATTCATCACAAGGTGCTTGTCTCTTGGTTTTAACTGCATGACTCATGACTATTAATTCAGCTGCCAGCGGACAACTCAACTGCATTAGCTGGCCGCATGGCTCGGATCTGCTGAGCCCAGGAACTGTGGCCTGTTAGAATCACAAAGTGCTCCCTGCCTGCGAAACTATGCTACTAGTAGCGTCCTTGCTCCTAGTAGCGATGCCCTTTGCTACTACATAGTAGCTTCTTGTTCCTAGTAGTAAGGGCCAGGAGCTGCCTCCCAAAAATCCTACCCATCTCCATGTCCTGAGGATTTACCACAGCATGGCTGTTCGATGAACAGCCACTGCCGGTGGCAATGGCTGGCATTCCCGTGATGTGGAGATTGTAACCTGGGTGTCTTTTCATCCATTCAAAAGACACACGAACAATTACAAACAACATCAAACAACAAATACATGTTGAACATCGTTTCGATCTATCTATCTAGGGACCACTTGGCAGGCCTGTACACGAGTCATTATGCAAAGAACATCACAAAAACGACCTGCACTTCAAGTGGCCTCTCAAGCTTGCCATTTATGTCTAAGCATGTTTGTTAACGGGCAGGTATGATTGCCAAATTAGCAAATATATACCATCAAATACCAATACCGTATCAATATTTAGCACATCCGCTTTGGCTTTCGTTTTCGCCGAAGGACCAGGGGGTGGAGATGAGCAAAATTCTTGCAAGAAGTCGTTGGCCTCCAAGGATGAGTTCATCATAGGCAAGCAAAACAACGGCAATCGTTACTGGTCACAGGACTTTGAGGCAAACATAGGCCTTCATCATCTTCTTCTGTGAAACTGGTTGTGACTTCTGGATTCTGGAAGCCTTGCAATCCTAGCTCCGCATGAAAGCCCCGAACGCTCTGGCTCTCAGTCTCATTCGCTTAGAGCAGCCTGACCAAAGTTGTGGTTGTCAGGAATGTTGGTTGGCCTTGGCATAGGTTGGTCTTCGCCAAGGAGTTCAACTACAAACAGGAACGACAAGCGTGCAATCACACACAGTCATACACATGCTGGAATTTGACCTATGGTCTGTCCTCGCACAGAAGTGTTCAGGGAAATGCATGGAAGACACCAAGAACAAGATTCAAGCCCGATGACCAAGCATGCAGAGCAAGCCCAGTCGCTGAAGCAACAGCCACGTCATCCTTCGATCTGGACTTACAAAGTCCAGGTTCGAGACCACACTTCTCGGTAACTCCCCGAAATCGGACCAGTAGCCTCAGTCATTGAGCTCGAAAGCGGACCTTCAAGAGTCAAGATCTGCTTCATGTTCGACGTCTGACCAAAAAGGGGTACCTTCAGTCCAACCCGAACAGTTTTCTACACAAAGACGTGGAGTTCTCTCAGCTCCGAACTGAGAACGCGAGGATGGAACTGCCGAACTCGTTCGTCCAGGGAGACCTACGATCCCGTCCACCGGTTTACATCAATCAAAGCAGTGTGGTGTTGGGTGACCAAGCCCTTGTTTTGACTCCTGTTGTCCAATTTTCACTCTTGAAACAGGGCAAACATCGAAACAAACTCCGGCGCTCTGTGTGAAAGGCACATTGGCAAACAAGGCTTTCCATGCCTGTTGGCTCACGTTCTGCGCAAAGGCCCTTACATCGGCAGACAAGGCTGTCCCATTTGATGGAGCCTGCACAGGCAAGTCTCTACCAGCTACCAATGATCATGTTTGATCAACCTATGCGTCACAGTACAAACCCACCATTATGAACAAATTTGAACTCTCCAGAATCCACAAGCAAATACCAATTGTGCTTTGAAATACCGGCGACATGATGTCTTCCAGTGAGTCGTATGAGTCTCCATTGTCTCGATGATGTTTTTTGCAGCTGCTCCTCGATAGCCATAACGATGGTGCCAGAGAGTCGCCTGGAAAGAAACACCAGAAATGAAGGTGTCGTCCAGTCTTGTGTCTCTCTGATTTCGCAGGCAAAGTTCTTGTTTGTCACAGGGTGCCTGAAAAATTCCTCTGGGAAGCCTTCCCCAAGAAACCTGCCTTGGAAAAATCTCTTGAATCTTGTGATTGGCTTCGAGCGCCTGACCTCGCAGAAGCTGCTGATCTTTCTGTCGGAAAACAAGGGACACATTGGACACTTTTCGAAAAGCAAACAGCTTGTTGAAGGGTGAAATGGCACCTCAACGGCAGCTATGCAGCGCTTCTGTGGTATTTACTGAAGTACTGAGGAATCTAAGGCATGCTGAGTCAAGGATTGGACGCATTTTGGTGTAAAGGAAAACGATGGAAAACGGGTCAGGTCTGCAGTCTGTTAAAGTCCATCGCGCAAAGCGGCTCCATTGCGGTGTCTGCCAGCCCAGGTTTCTGGTGTGGCGAAAAAGGGCTGCTACAATGTACCTCTCCTCAGAGCTATTTGCAGCAGAACTTCTTGCTTGTGAAAACTGTGAAAACGCAATAAATGATAGACCAAGCAAGGCACTGAACATTCTCTGAGCATCATGGCATGAATCTGGACACACCAGCGACTATGATATTGGTCTGATGCAACAGGTCTAACTTGTCCCTTACACTGAGCGCTTCTGGATCTTTCCAACTTCCAAGAGTCGCTGCACAGCAAGGCCGCTGCTGCGAGGAGCACCACCAGGGATTCGTATCGCGCCTCACGATCCGAAGGATCCCCAAACCACATCAGCAACCAGCGACGCAGCACGTTGGGAATCGTCCATCATCTGCATCTACTACAACAGTTATGGTTTTGACATGTGGATCACTCACTTTGGATTCTTGTTGCTAGAGCTGGCAATTTGTTCAACTTTGTCTGTCCTACCTTGTTTATACTGCCATTGCTTCATCATGCTTCAAACTCATCATTGGGCTATGTCAGGAAAAAAGGCCGTGTGGGGGTCTGCAAGGCGCACTGCTGGCCGCACGGAGGCATCCCAGAAGCGTCTCTTGCCTTGGCTTTGCATGAGTGGCCATGAGTGGCGCAACGTCATGATTTTGGGCCATGATGCTATTCAATATTGATCAATGCCATGGAGCAAGAAGGACTTTCATTTCCATGTTGCCACATCGAGCTATCGAATCTCTGCACAAGGACCTGATCAGGTGGATCCTGCTGTGCTCCAAGGAAGATTCAAAGGCCAACTTCAAATTTGCACCACACGACCAACACTCTCCCACGAGCGGTCCAACAAGGAACGCATTTCGCTGAAACTTCAAGCTGCTTTGCAGTCTTGAAGCAACCTCCAACTTGGATGCCTCCTGGGTGTCTTCTGGTGTTCTGAGGTGCCCAGTGTGAGAAGCGTTTGTTTAAAAGTGCTGACGGCGCCTCGTGTTTATTGTGATTGTGGTATGATGATACTTGTCACACTGCAAACTCCGCAGCAGCATAGGGTGGTCCTATGAACCTTTTGCGGCAAAACTGGGCAGGAATGCGTCATCAATTTGGTATCAACAAACAGCTGCTGAGGCCACAAGTGAGAAAAATTGCTCCTACAAACAAAAGCACTCTTTTGGCATTCCTTTTAGAAACATTGAAACGGGCACTCAAGTCCTACTTGAGCGATATAGAGCCACGGAAGCTCAAGGCCTACTTGAGCGATATAGAGCCACGCAAGCTCAAGGCCTACTTGAGCGATACAGAGCCACGCAAGCTCAAGCCCTACTTGAGCGGTAGAGAGCCGTGCCATCTTGAAACGAGAGCTCAAGGCCTACTTGGGCTCCAAAGCGAAGGAAGGAGAACGGCTCCAGGATGCTTTTTACGCATAAATGAACGGTAGGAGAACAAGTGTGCAAACCACGAATTGCGCAAAGACGGGCTTCAACACCCGCTTGACAATCATTCCCTCGGGCACGTGCAAGCCAATGACTGCAGTCGCCTCAAAAAAACAAGGGATCTGTTTTAAGTTTTAAGCACACAAAAAAGATGCAACAGATATAAACATGTTGACCAAAAGAGCCGTGGATACAACCTACGGGAGCGTTTTGAAGTGCGGGGTCTACTATGTCATCCTCGAAAGGACTCAGCTATTGTCTCCTGAATCCTTGTTTCATATGAAAGCTCATGATGGTGTGAAGATATGTGAAGATGAGAAAAAGACTGAGGCAAACACTGCAATGATGTTTGAGAGGCAAAAGGCGTTGCCACTCGAAGCCCCACAAAGCTGCAAGGCAATCAGTGCATGGGATGACAAGTTCAGCTTCTCGGCTGCGACCTTCTGCACCTGTGTAAAGGTGAGGCAAGACACCGTGGTTGAGCCGCTGAAGAAGGAGCCCAGAGCACCCAAGGGAAAGGAGAGGGCCATGAAGCCATGACTCAAAGTCTCTGAAAGTCGTGTTCCAATGATCACAGCAGGTGCATCTTTCAAAGCATCCGATGTTCGCAAGAGCTCCACCAAGACCAATGCACCACTCAATGCAATGGCAGGACCCTTGATTCGGGTCATCACCGATTTGAGGATTTGCATTGGTGATTCTTCCAACTCTCTGCGAAACACCATCAAAGGTGCACAGCCCGCTACGACAAACGGCAAAATGAAGGGGATGTAGAGCAACTCATAGGTCCAGCCAATGCTTGTTCCCAAGATGCCACTAAGAGCAAACCGACCCACTGGTGAGATGCTCAAATGCCCCAAAGTGCCCAAATCCCCATCCACGATCTTGGGCTCCTTGATCCGAAGTGCACCCTTCAGGCCAATGGGCTCGATCCTTGTCAAGATCAGGAGCAAGACGGTGAGCCACAGGGGCATGGTGCGAAAGATTGCATCAAAGAGGCGAAACTCGGCAAAGTGCTCGGCGTCCCCATCATGGATGTCTACTTTGTGCTTTCGCTTTCGGGGTTCTTCAGAATTCTCTGAGTCATGATTCAGAAGGTCTGCAATCTTTTTGGGAAGGATGGACATGTGACGTGCTTTGTGGAACTTCTTCAGCGTCTTGCCACAAACTTCAACCTCGTGATTCACTGCCATCTGCTTGACGCTCTTCACGCTCCTGACACTCTTGAAGCTCTTGACGCTTTTGTTTGACCGATCTCGAGCAGGCGCATCTCTTCCATTCATGGTGCGCTTGGAATCGGTTGTGTTGAGCTGCCCTTCCTGGTAGGATTCGCCATTATTAGCGCGTTCGGGACAACCTGATGGCCCGACCTGGCCATGCCTGCCTGAATCATCATTGGTCCTAATTTCTCTGCATAAATTCCTGCGCTACTCACGAAGCTCATCATGTGACACTTCTAATATATTAGATTAGCTTTCTCAACCACCCCCATGCCTCAACAGCCATGGCCACAGTTGGAGCCTTGCCCGTGATCATGAGATCCCACTGGTCAGCGTCAAAGATCTTTGAGTCGGCATTGGCCAAGGGGTTTTCAAGGAGCTTCTCACTGGGAATCTTCTCCAGCTTCTCCACTCCCATCGATTCCATCTCCACATTATGAATATCCTTCTGATCCTGCTCAGTTTGGGGAATCACATTTTCAGGACCGAGCTCAGGATCTTCAAGATCCTCCTGGTTGCGATTGTGGGGCCCCAGGCCAATCCCACAAACGGTCAGGACAGTGGTGACGCAAAGGCCCACGATGCCTGCAGCCAAGGTTGGGAACTCATAGTTCACGAAGGAAAGGCCAATGAGAGGCAGGACGCAACTCAAAGTACTCATGTAGATGAAGAGCAAACTGGGGCGGACCTCATCCCATGGCACGATGATGTAAACAACACCGGGCACCACAGCAACCGCAGCTGCTCCCAACGCAATCGCTGCATTGAAGCCCACTTGGAGCAGGTCCGCTTCAGCATAGTCAGGAACAACTTCTCCAATGCCGAACCACACGGGGGTGCCAACCGCGCCAAAGATGGTCATGCAGGTGTTGAAACAAAGCAAGCAAATGACACATTCCATCTTTGGGTGGCCCATGGAGTATAGCATGGGAGCGGCCAAGGCAGCGGGAGTGCCAAAGCCAGAGGCACCTTCGACAACAAAGGCGAAGCAAAAGCCGATGAGCATCACCTCGGCAATGGGGTGCGAATTGGTCACCAAACGCAACTGCACCTTCATCCAAGCCAAGCATTGAGAAGACTCCATGCAATCGAAGAGAAAGATTGCGCCAGCCACAATGCTACATGGCGTCAAAGCTTGCAAACAGCCCTTGATGAAGCAAGCACACGCCTCCAATGGACTTGCTCCCAAGTACCAAAGCTTCAACACAAAGAGGAGTATTGCAGCAAGCCAAAGACTCTTGGCGGTCGCCATGGGTTTTGGCTTCAAGACCATTGCCACAAGGAATGCAATCGGCGAAAGGAGCACCAAGGCATCCGCAAACCCCCATGGACCCATCCGCGCCATCCCACAAAATCCACAAACCTCCGCAAAAAAAAGAAAGGGCGGGGCGTTCCTCAAGAATGCTCGTTGCGGCTTGATCTGGATGGTGCTTCGAAGAAAAAGAGAGTCTCTTAACTTGGTGCAGTCACACATGGTGCTTATTAACACTTGATGTTCTGTATGTGGGTCTCTCAGTTTGATGTGGCATTTGCATGCATTTGCTTAGTCCACGACCCACCATCACACGACTCGCATGCGATTGGTGATGTTTAACATGGCAACATCAAGCTTCATCTATCTAGCTGTGACTGGTTGTGGACGTGCCGTTCTGTGCTGGAAGGAGAAGCCCCTAGACGTGCAAAGAGTCAAATAATTCAAGAGAGGTAAAGTTACAAGATATTCAACACATTTTGTGCAACGAGTCTATCCACTCGTTCATGCTCTTTCAACATCTTTCAACATATCAGCAAAGTAAAGTTTGAGCCAATGGCTGCATGGACAGAAAGAGCTCCTCCCTGTGGGGCACCAACAAATCAACTGGGGTAGATACTATACAAGTTGTTGATAGCCTTGCGACACCAAACGACACAATACAATCCACCATGAACTGAAAGGATTTGAGAGGAGCTTGAACACCATCAATCAAACATCTCAACATCACAAAACATAGAAGCACATTCCAGAAAATGATGATGAGCAAGGACGCTACGTTCGGAGCAAAGGGCATCGCTACTTAGGAGCCAGGATGCTACTGGGGGGTCATGGCCTTGCTACTAGGAGCAAGGACGCTACTGTGACCTTGAACATTTGTCGCTCCGACCTTTTCCGACCTCTTGGATCGCTAAAAAGAGCTTCTAGCAGTTCGGCGTGCCGTCTAGGCCAAAAAAACGATCAGGTTTTGAAGGTGCCAGTGCCTTTGGTGAAAAATGGTGAACATGAAACCTTAAAAACAGCTAAACACTCAATTGATCTCAATTGGATTGAAGATAGCAGATTCGAGCAACCGATCACGGCCTAAGACGCAAGCAATCGTGGCCGTCTCGTGGGAGTTAAGGGTCTCAAGGGCCGAAAGAGGTGCGGTAATTCAATTCATGCTATTAGGAACAAGTGCATCGCTACTAGTAACAAGTGCCTTACTAGTAGTAACAAGGACGCTACTAGGGGCTCCTGGCATCGCTACAAGGAACAAGGACGCTACTAGGGGCTCCTGGCATCGCTACTAGGAGCAAGGACGCTACTAGGAGTTGATCTACTTAAGATCCTTTGCAGCATTACCTTCCCTTTAGTCTCCTTTAGTCTACAAGCGGTCATGACATGCGCAAATCAGCAAATCCACTACTGGAAATGAATTGATAACCTTCCGCTGCTTCACTGTCACCCTCACACAGGACCTACTGAGTATTGCACCGCTCTGGCGCTTGCACATCACTGAGTGAAGTTGCCAGGTCTGCCAGCCTTGCCCTTGGGGAAGGAGGCAAATCGTTCCAAAATCACCAACTGCTGGCAAATCTTGGCTCAACTTCTTGAATGCTCTTGGGATTTCTGGCTGATGATTTGAAAAGGAACTGCTCGTACCAAGTATATAAACTTGGCATATGATGATCTATGACCGTCGGGACTCAAATGCCAGCATGAGGTGAAACTGCTGTACAAACCACCCATAAGCAGACAATGTCTTGAGGGCGCTAGGGTGTTGTCCCTGAATTGAGTGAATTCGAATTTGCCACAGACATCGAAAGGTTGTGGACAGCACTTCCTGCTCACAAAGATGCATCCGGACCGGAAAATGAAAAAATAAGTGCTGATCTGCCGTTTTCACGAGAGTTTGTTAATTTGTCATTTTCACAAACCTATGAGTTTGTTAAGTTTGAGAAACATGCACAAATCTGCGTCAATTTCTTGCAAACAGCAAGACTCCATGCGCAATATGATGTTCACAAAGGGGAGCTTTATACAACGGTCATCCCCAGTCCTAACATCACGGACTCATCGTCACTGTCAAAGTCGACAGAAGTCCTGGACATTTGAGCCCAACGTTTTGGAGAAAACCGCCAACCTTGACAGCCACAACTTCTCCAAACAAAGCCGGCCATGTGAAGGCCCTCTTATTGTTGCAGTCATCTCCGAGGGCTGTACTAGCAACCAAATGGAACC